GCCACCATGCCCAGCTGATTTTTTGTATTTTTAGTAGAGACGGGGTTTCACCATGTTGACCAGAATGGTCTCGATCTCTTGACCTCGTGATCCACCCGCCTCGGCCTCCCAAAGTACTGGGATTACAGGCGTGAGCCACCGCGCCTGGCCAGTATTCATCTTAATATATAAAATCTATTCCATATAAAGGAATTACCAAAAAAAAGTCAGGAATACAGTTTCATCAATGTCAAATGTCAAAATTTAAAAGATCAGTACCTGTCTGAGTAGTGTATGTTATAAATGTATTAGCAACTATTCTTCCCTGTTTTCCTTCAAAATCTTCATCTCCTTCTTCTTCAGATGAAGAGCTAAAGTGTTCTTCAACAAGTTTTCTGGCTGCAGCTTGGTTAGCTTTCTTGATTTCTTCAAATTTTTTCTGAGACACTAGCTCTGTTTAAAAGAAAAAAGTTTCATTTCTGCAGAACAATCCCTCAAAAAGCAAAGCATAATGTGCTAATATATCATTTTAAAACATGCATTTAAAAGTCCCCTTTGGAGCATTCTATCTTACTGTAATCCATAAGAAAAAGTATTTTCAAATGCCTTGACACACAACTAAAGAGAATACCACAACAAAAATTTTCACATTTCTAAGTACCCTGCTAAAATACAGCAAATTTTTATGAAAATGGTGATGAATAAATCAAAAAAAATATGAAAATACGATAAACTTATCAAAACACTGGTGATCAACTTCAAAATAAGGACTAACAAAAATTAAGATTTTTAAAGTACATTGGGCACAGTAATTTTTAAGAAGTTAGGGAACATGTCCACAGTGAGCACATAAAGAATCAGGGAAAGTGAGTACTTGAAACTACTATCTTCTGAACAACAGGACAGGATAGGACAGTGCGGTCCAGCCCCACGAAAGAGTCTGTACCAACAGTACTCTCTATGCACCCACTATATTTATAATTGGCTTTTAGAAAGGTCAAGAACTTTTTGCCTTTATTATGGACTTTTTGTGGTCACAAAAAAAAAAACATATTTTACATTAATCCACACAAAATATTAACATGGAGAACATGTTTCTTCCAAGTTCATTCCAAAAAGAATGTTAATTTTGGATTCATTCTTCTGCTACTCTCTTTGGCGCTATCTGTACTTCTCGTTTTGTTGATTAATCGTGCAAAACAAAATTAGATTACTTCACTGCACATTCCCAAAGAAACTTCCAACTTCTTGAGAGCAAGGACCATGGGGATTTTCTTCAAGCACTAAGTATTAAAAAGCTCTTATGGACAGCAAACATAGTTTAAGAAAGGAGCCACAAACCTGCAGAATTGATCTAAATTCATGAGTTCCCATCCTGAGATAATTTTAAATGTACTGATTGACTATTTTAAAATTCACATTATAATTGAAACTGATGAGCCACTACTAAGATAAGCTCTTTTATCATGGGTGGTATATTTGTACTTGACGACGTTCCCTCATGAAACATTTTCCTTTTCTTATTGCAGCCAGCTGGGTTAGGGGTATCAACAAAACAAATTGAGTATTTCAAGTAAAACTGGAAGAAAATGTACATCATGCTTACCTAGCAATCTCTGAGTACAGGTAAAAAAGAACTGGCTATGAGATACATAACTCAATACTTATCATAAAAAAGACGACAAATGTCATTAATCTATGGGAAATTAGCACTTAAAGATACATTAAAAAAAGGCTGAATTGGACAGAGGTGAGAACATTCATAACCTGATAAATGTATTCACCTAATATCATCTCAAGGTAATGACAAGTTGACAAAGCAACCTTCTCACATATTATTTCTTAAAGCCAAATCTCAACTATCTAGGTAGAGAATGCTTGTTTTCATTCTACCTACAAAATCTAAGAAAGTTTACCAAACCTGTTCACATGTCTGCATATTGTATACCTTATCATCACCACCAGAAACTGCATGCTAAGAGAATACCTACCTTTAACATTAGCCTAGGAGAAAACTACTCTGATACTCAATTCTGCTACGCACCCAAAAAAAATATATTCTGAAAAATGCATTCCAAACACAAACATAAAATGATTTCAGGGATTACTCCCTCGGCCCCATGCACGACTGTGTGTAAGTGCTCCCTGGCTCCACGAAAACATGGTGTTGGAAGAAAGGTACTGATATATCAGAGGCAACACCAGATATATCCACAGAAGGACATGGAATTTGAAAACAGGAACTACAGTCAAGGAAGGTATCAAAAGCTCCAGTGCTTACAAGGCATAGACACGTCAAGAAAGGTAAAGATGACAAATGACAGACACCTGGCTCCAGAAATGAGAGAGAATGTGAGACGGAGTGCCCAAGTCCAATCTAAATGGGATTTCTGTGACTCAGCCGAGCTGTTGCCATGCACAAACACTAAAACCACAAGGTTGTTAACCAGATTTTTAAAAACGACAAACAAATGCTGACAGCCAATCCACATTTAAAACACAGTGTTAACCAAACAACACCATAGATCAAATCAAGACACCGGGCCACAATTTACAACTTATGGTCTGGAGATTCAAGTAGGCAAAAGAGAGTGGAGGGAAGTAACAAAGGTAATACCACCTAAAATTAAGACGAAAGAGGTGCGTTGGAGATCTACCTAGATTGCCGAAAAGAGCAGCCACCTGAAGGGCTGGAGAAGCAGGCCTGGTAACAAACTCCCGAAGGAGGGGAAAGTAGTGAAGTGAAAGAAGGCGAGGGCGGAGGCAGTCCTGACTAGCAACTGCCTTAGGAGGCACCCAGGTGAGCCCGCAGGCGGGAGCTATTCTCACCGTGGACTGCGGGCGTCTGCAGGGCTTGGGATCCCGCGGGGCTGTTACTGCTCCTCGCAGCGGCCGTGGTCGCGACTCCTCCGGGAATGGCGCCAGAAGGAACCGCGCCCACCGACCCCTTCTCTCGCCCTCCTCCGGCGCCACGGAGATGGACTCCATTTCCAGAGGAGGGGGCGGCACTCGCCCGTCCCCGGGCTCGGCCTCTGCCACTCGCCACCTGGCGCCAGGAAGCTTCCATCCCTGCAGAGGAGAAAAAAAAAAAAGGAGTGAAAGGAGGTGAGCGCGGCAGAACCGAAGCGAAGGAGAGGGTCAGTGCGGAAACCTGGTGTGAGGGGCCGAGGGAGGAGGGTTCCTGCAGGTCGGGGACGGGGAGGTCGCGGCCCTGCCTTTCCCGGAGGGCTAGTCCCCGCCAAGCCCCGGCTTTGGAGATGGACCGAAGACGGGAGGGAAGACTAGGTAGAGAAACCGCGGAGCAAGGAGCACACAGTGCCGAAGACGGAAAGCCGGAGAAGTGGAAAGCGCCTCCTCAGCCTCTGAGGAAGCGTGGTAGGGGAAGAGCCACAGACTGACCCTGCGGCTCCCGCCGGGAACCAACTGCAGTAGCAGACCCCACGGAAAGCTACGTCTCCTTACCGACGGCGCTCGCCCCAACAGACTACAACTCCCAGAAGCCCCCGCCCGCGGTCTGGCGACTGCGTGGCATCACTGGCCGCTTCCTGATCCGGAAAAGTGCCGGGGTTGGATAGGGAGAACCCCAAGCGCCTGCGCCGGCCTGGATAGGCCTTTTGAAACTACAACTCCCGGCGTGCTCTAGGGGCTAGGGCGGGGTCGAAGGCCGCTGGGGTGCCTGGTAGTGGAGGTGGGCAGGACCGGAGGCTCTCGTGACCCCATAATTTGATTTTCCTTCTGCAAGACTGCACTAAACTAGCTGGGTACGAGGATTCCATGGACCTGTCCCTAATTGGCTGTCTGCCATCTTTTATTAGCCTTGCCTTTGGGCTTGCAGATGGCAGGAAGTGTCAACTTAAAATAATGAAAAGCGCGAAGTTTGAGGATAGCCCACCTAGAAACACCAACTCCAAGGAATGGAATCAGCCTTTACTTCTTAAGTAGAGATTTAAGGTTTCATTTATATAGGCAGAAGTGGAGAAGTTTTTAGCAGGATTACAACATTTTCTCATACAAAATTAGCGAATAGTTACAACAATTTGCTTATAGACAGTGTTTCTTTTTAGGAAGTGTACGTTTAACATTTTTCATAAAGGATTTTCTGTTATCTGGTCTAAGCAAACCATCCTTAATCTATAAGGATCATTAAGAAGGCAGGAAGTGTTTGTCCTTAACTTCATTTAATTCTCTCTAGCCATTGTACAGAACAAGAAAATTAAAGCAAGTTGATATATAATCGGAGAAACAGAAATTGTAACCATTATATGACTCGGATCAGTCACATCTCTCTCTAGGCTTAGTGATTTTTAGGTTCCAACAGCCTTTAAATTTTATTTATTTTCATAGGGGAACCTCACTAACAGGAAAGGCACTTACACTGAAAACACTTTGAGGTTGGCCACTGTGATACAGGGAAGTGGCTTGAGTAGTAAAAAATACTCTTTTAAAATGCTAGAGCAATGTGGAAAATAAATCTAAAGCCTGTTATTGTCATACTCCTTTGTAGTTTCCAATGAGCTTTCCCTGGAGCATGCTAATTTTTACATTCACAGCATCTCCCTAAACTAGATTTTGTTAAAGAAAATAGCTGAGGCCAAGACCTAAATCTTATGATTTTGCTGAGTTTCCAATAAGATACATGTGCATATATACAAATAGGTAGATTGCAAAAATTCATTCTGGGGTCTGTCTGGCATTGAGAAACACTGATTGCTCTGTGGGACTGTACAATCCTTCAACAATTTAGTTGGATTTAGTTAATTCAACTAAATTGTTGAAGGATTGTACAGTCCCACTAACTTCAACTGAATTGAAGTTAGTCCTTCAATTTAGTTAATTCTTCTATATTAATCATAAGTCTCTTATAATATTTAGGTAGCATTTATTAGATGTCAGGCACTGTTTAAAGTGTTTTACGTATATGTACTAATTTGGTACTCACAGTAACCCTATTTATTATCCCCATTTTACAGCTGAGAACACTGAGACACAGAGAGATTAAGCAATTTGCCTTTGATCATACAGCTAGGAAGTAGTAAAGCCAAGATTCAATCCTAAGTAGTCTAATTTCAGAAACCATGCTTTTAACCCCTTAAACATAGATATTGCAGAACAAAAATAATGTCCCCATGGCTGGACATGGTGGCTCACGCCTATAATCCTAGCACTTTGGGAGGCCAAGGCAGGTGGATCACCTGAGGTCAGGAGTTTGAGACCGGCCTGCCCAACATGGCAAAACCCCGTCTCTACTAAAAATATAAAAATTAGCCAGGCATGGTGATGGGCACCTATAATCCCAGCTATTCTAGAGGCTGAGGCAGGAGAATCGTTTGAACCTGGGGGCAGAGGTTGCAGTGAGCCAAGATCGTGACACTTCAGCCTGGGCGAAAGAGTGAAACACTGTCTCAAAAAATAAAAAAAGAAATAACATCTCTGAGAATGATATAACTTCATTGGCTAGAAACTAAGAGGTGCTTAGCAACTCTCTTAATGCTGAACTTGTATAAGGACTGTAAATTTAAAGCTGCAATCAGCTTTCAAAGTTTAAAAACCCTAAAGCAAGACTTTTCTTCAGTAGGGTTTTCAGAGACAGGAAAGGAGCTGTTATACTCTGAGAGGGAATATGGTAATTGTCACTGAGTAATCCAAGAAATACTGAGTGGCTACTAAAAAGAGAGATCTGTCTTAGAATTGTGTTATGTGCCAGAGACTTGGACTAGCATATTATCTAAATCTTTATGTCAAACTATCTTGAGTAAATGTTTTCCATCCCCACAAACATTCAATAGCTAATAACAGTGCCCAACAGTCCTTGAGGGCTTTCCGTATGCCAGCATTCTTCTAGACTCTTTTTTCTTTTACTCATCTAATCATCCCAACAACCTATAAAATCGGTATTGTTATCATCAAAACAATTTCTTATTCAACATCCCAGCAGAGCTAGGTTTACAAATACATAGTGTGACTCCTGGCCTGTACTCTTAACCACCATGCAAATGATGACTGTATAAATGTATTTAATGTTTACCTAGAAATTCCAGTTATTTTTAAAGTATCTAAACAGGGAAAGGGCCCATATAATCAGGATTTTTTCCCTGCCATATTATACAATGAAAATTGATAATCACAATAATCACTTTGGAATCAGAAATAATCATGTGCATGCTCAGTGAGAAAACTGTTGTATTATCATTGTAAATTTTGGCAGTGGAGAGCTAGTATATTTTATAAAGTAGAAGCATATGTAAGTTGAGAACACATTTTCAAGAATTACCGTTGATTCTACAAGAAGAGCTACAAAACACTGCTGAAAGAAATTATAGACAACATAAACAAATGGAAACACGTTTCATCCTCATGGATTGGAATAACTTTGTGAAAAAGGACCATACTGCCCAAAGTGAACTACCGATTCAGTGCACTTCCCATCAAACTACCTATATCATTTTTCACAGAAGTAGAAAAAACAATTCTAAAATTCAAAAGGAACCAAAAAGAGCCCAAACAGCCAAAGCAATCCTAAGCAAAAAAAAAAAAAAAAAAAAAAAAAATCTGGAGACTTTCTATTACTGGACTTCAAATTATACTACAAGGCTATAGATACCAAAACAACATGGTACTGGAAAAAAACAAAACAAAGCTACACATTAGGTAACAACGTACACTACTCTGGCCATGGGTGCACTAAAATCTCAGAATTCACCACTATATAATTCATCCATGTAACAAAAAACCACGTGTACCTCAAAAGCTTTTGAAATAAAAAAAATTTTTTAATACCATTGCTGTTATTTTTACTTTGAAATTTCAGATAGCATTTGAGAGAAACAGATTTTTTTGTGTTTATCAAAAAGGACATTGGGTTACATATTGAGAATTACAATTATAGATTTATATTTAATTGAATTGTTTTTAAAAAAGTATCCACAATAATAGCCAAAAACAAAAAGCCTGACAATATCAACTGTTTGCAAGGATGTGGAGAAACTGGAACTCTCATACTTTCTGGTGGGAATGGAAATTGGTCCAAACTCTCAAAAAATGTTTAGCAGCATCTACTAAAGGTAAACATGGCCCACTACTAAAGCACTGTGACCAAGCAATTTCACTTCTTTTTATGCACGCACGCGAAATAAGTCCATAGCTTCACAGAAACTCGTGTTTATAGCAGGTATATTCACTATAGTCAGAACCTGGAAACAACTATAATGTCATCAATAGGAGAATAGAAAAGTAAATTGTGATATATAATAAAATATTATGCAAAAAGAGGTGGGTTCCACATGGCCAACTGGAGGAGCTGAGTATGCTTGGACTTTGGCATACACGGGGATCTTGGAACCATTCCCCAGCATATACCAAGGGCTGACTGTCATTGTATTTATTTGTTCATTACTGACATATTGTCTTGATATGGATTGCTTTTGCCAGGGTATTCATACACAAATACAATTATACTTGGTAAACACATCTCTACCTGGGTAAACATTGTGCCAGTTACCAATGTATTGCCTCTATGCTCCAATTCGTATTTCTATATGAGCTCTGTGACAATTAACAGACTCCTTTAAGCATCTCCACAGAGCACGATGCTAAGTTTTTGCGGTAGAGGGCGCCGAAGAGGCATTGCGAGAGGGACAGTGATCTCCCTGGCGTTTCTGGCTGCTGCACAGTGCCTGCGATCTTGCAGCCTCGGTCTGGACTGGCAATAACATTCCTGAGCAGATTTCGCACGGGGAAACTGGCCACAAAGGCCTGCGGCTCACACCAGGTGCCCTAAACCACTACTTACTGTGCTGCTGATGTTTCCTCCCGCAAGTCCCAGCACCTGCCACCACGCCCACGCATTGCAGATCCAGGCACAGCTCACCTGTGTCCCAGCCCCTAATCTCTCTATGCAAGCGCACCCTGATCACTGATTACTGTGTCCTACATGCATTCTAGAGCGTTACTTCCTACTTGCCCAGGGACTGCAGACCAGCTTTTACCAGCAAGTTTCTCTGCTGTACAGTGTGCTGATACACTTTCTCCAATAAGCTCTGAACTCTTATTGTCCTTCCTTGTGTACCCGCGCCCCCCACACCCCGCGTCTAAAATACCAGAGTTTCCTTGTAGTTGTTATTTTATCGGAGTTTAATAAATATTTGTATTACATTTAATCCAATGTGTGCTTTTTATTGTTAATTGGACCCAGACTGACACAGGCACTGTAAACATTTTATATCAGTTTTTCTGCAATTTTTGTTTTGACACTTAAAATGTTATATATATTAGAGTTATATCCTTTTAATTTTTAGAGGTATACAGTAACACATGAATGCATTTAATTGTTTTTTTTTTGAGAAATAAAGGAAAGGAAGAAAGAGTAAGAGGAAGAGGGAGAGAGAACAGGGGTGTTGCTTTATTGCC